AGGGCCACGCGCGGTCGGCGGGTCCCTGCGGTCACTGCGCGTCGGCTGGCCGGGCTCCTGCCCCGGAGCTGTGCGACCAGGCTGTGTGCCCCTTCCTCACTTTCTTCCTTTGGCCTTCAGCGTACTCATTCGCAAAATGGGGCGAATAGTTTCTGATCGATTGATGGATTGCGTGGTTCATTCATTCCTGGTGCTGTACCAGGTTCTGTGGCTAGAGATGCGGAGACAGAAACTGCCCATTAGGGCTTCACAGGCTAGTGAGAAACCCCCCACCTTACGGGTGAGGAGGGTCAACACAATTAGAATTTGGGAGTTCTTTAAAAAATAAAAACAAAACTGCTTTTCAGACGAGAGATGTTAACTTGAACATTAAAATTTAGACCTGCTGAGACTGGGGAATAAGAATTCTGTTGGGTACTTAGGAGGAATATACATTGTTAGCTAGTGTATTGCATATTGTGATGACAGCTTAAATACAGAAAAATTTACAAAGTGCGTTCACCACCCTTTCGGATGTGATCTTTACAGCTAATTGAGTTAATCAGAGCAGGTGGTGTATCCTCGTTTAACAAGAAAATAGAGGCAGAGGTTGAAACTTACCCAGGCTCTCACTGCGGGGAAGAGACAAAGCTAGACTAGAATCTAGGCCTCAGGACCCACGGACCAGTGCTCTTTCCACCACACTAGGTGCCTGCGTGCTTCCACATTATTTTTATAATACACAAGTCATTCGTTTGTGACAAAAAGGGAGTTCCACTGGGTCACAGATGGCCTTAAGACAGATTTGTATCCACTCAGATTGTTCTCTGACTTATTTTTGGCATTCTTCCCACTCTCTACCCTGGCCTTGGGTGATTTTATCTACACTCAAACTTGACCTTCACACCAAGTCCCAAATCTATATCTTCTACCCAATTTCTCCTAGCTGTATCCAGACATCCACTGACCATTTCCACTTGGGTGCCTCACAGGCACCTCAAACTCAGTATCCTAAACTACACACTACCTTTCTCCAGAGACCTGCGCTCCAAATCAAATAATTGAAATCCTTATCCATTCAGTCACCCAAGTACAAGCTTGGCTTGGTTTCTCCCCTCACCTCCTACAATCAGTGGATCACCAAGTGCTGCCGCGTTCTATTTTCTAAAGATCTCCCAAATCCCTCCTCTATCTCTGTTGCTTCTTCCTTCATTTAGGTGCCTAGGGATTATGGTAATAACTTCCTACTGGCTCTCTTTAGCTTTAAGCTCAGCTTCTTCCAGTCTATTTTCTGTTCTCTACAAAGTGATCTTTCTATAGTTCAGATATGATCAAATCACTCACTTGCTTAAATTCCCTTCAAGGTTTTTCATCATCTTCAACATAATATCCAAAGTCCTTAGGGTGGATTCAAGGTCCTTCCTGATCTTTTCCGAACTTCACCCACCTTCCCCACCCTCCATCTCCAGACCACTGTTTCTCAGGTGTGGTGCTGACCTCCACTAGAAGCATGGGAGTACTTGTTAAAGGTGAAAATGACAACCCAACCAGAACAAATCAGAGTCTTGGGGGATAATGAACTGGATTCTGCATTTTAAACAAGGTCTCTGCATTTTAATGAGTTTTGCACTGGAGTTTGAGAGGCCTTGTTCTAGATACTCTCCCATATTTCCACTGCTCTTTATCCATACTTGTGTAGGGGAGGAAGACAGTTCCTCTACCCGCTAAGTCCTTCTGGTTGGTCTAAGAATTAAATTGACATGAGACAATAACAGAAGAAAATAAAGTTTAAAAACATGTATACATGGGAGAAACCCAGGAAAACTGAGCAACTCACCATTATGGCCAAAGCCGCTACCTTAAATACTATCTTCAGCTGAAGACAAACGAGGATATTGGGGGTACTGGTTTGGGACTTCAGAGGGGAGGAAGGCAATTTACATGAAGATGGAAATGTAAATGTAAATGTTTGTTAAACAAGTGTTTGCTGGGCCCTTTATAGACAATGTGACCCAAGAGACACATTTTGCATTACACTATAGTTATGGTATTAGCTCCTTCTATCTTAAATTCTTTTAGGCAGTTAGAGGGAAGGTCAGAGTTTTTTTCGGAGTCTTTTGTTCTTATAATAATCAAGCCAAAAAGACACATTTTGGGGTGGCCAGTTCTGACCCCCACACCTGACTACCCACCTGTGTTTCCCTGAACACAGCTTGCTATCTTTTATGCCTTTGTACGCATCAGGCTCTTTAGCTCCTTTGATAACTCTCCCTCATTCTTCAAGTCTCAGCATAACTTTCACACCTTCTGAGAAGACCTACATCACCAGGCAGGACCAAGCACCACCGTGTCACCTCCAGTGTATGTTAAGTCCATTCTCGTGGACTCTCCCAGAGCCGTGGCTTACCCCTCAACATTCCTCCCACTGTATTACAGTGATAAATTGTGTAATTGTATTGTCATTGTCGGTTTAACAGTTGTGAGCACTGGAGAATAGAGACTTGTTTTTCCCTGCCTAGAACCCAGCACAGAGCCTAGCGTATCAGTGTTTGTTAAAGGCCTGTTGAATGAACGAATGCTCTAGGGCCAGATGGAGAGGCATTTAATTATCAGATGTGCCTTTGGGTTCCTTTATGTACTAGCCTGGACTGTCCCTGATTCATGGGAAGTTGGGCTCCCTGGCACTGGCTTCATTGTTTCTGGTGATAAGGATGTTTCTTTCGTTCAGAGGAATTTTAACCAATGGTAGTGTTAAAGAAAAAATTTAGTGACGTTTGTTAAAGAATGGTAAGGCAGACTTTATTCAAGGGGGGAGGGATTGGAGAGGCATCTCCATGGAAGTAGAGACCACTGCTATGGGAGTCTTGTAGTAGAGGAGGGAGATTGGACTCAACTCTTGACTCCAATGAGGACAAGTCGGGGTTTATAGCCAAGGAGCAGGGTGGGGTCAGTGGATGGAAAATTGCTAAGAGGAAACATCAGCAGTAAGGGGGATTCTTGTTAGACCACTCAACAGAACTCTTGCTGAAGGCAGACCGGGGTGATAAGATATCCAGGGTGGTCAGATACCAAGGGTGGGGGATTTTCCTTAAACTAACTTAGCAGGATTCTTGCTCAATCCTTGCTAGTAAGGACAAGAGGGATGTCCAAGATTGAGCCTAGTCCAGCAGAGAGGTCAGAGGAGGCTGATTAAAGTTAGGTCAAGAAGAGAGTCCTTGGAGCCAGCCCTGATGGCCTAGTGGTTCAAGTTTGGAGCTCACCGCGTTGGCAGCCTGGGTTCGCTACCTGGTCACAGAACCACACCACCTGTCTGTCAGTTGCTATGCTGTGGCATAGAAGAACTAGAAGGACTTACAACTACGATATACAACGATGCACTGGGGCTTTGGGGAGGGGAAAGAAAAGGGAAGTCTTTGTGGTTAAAAAGAGTAATATAAGAACTAGAATCTTCAGTGAAAGCGGCTTTTTTTTTCCCCTTGGTCTATTTACCTCATGCACACATAGTCATACAAAATTTATGTATAACTATTTATCTCTTTAGAAAATAATTTGTATTCATCTTAGAAAACTTAGAAAATACATTGCAATTTAAAAAATAAAATGTCACCCATTATCGCACAACCAAGAGGGAACTACTTAAAATTTTTTTGTGTTTATTTCTATTGGTGTTTTTTCCATTTATATTCATGTTTGAACATAATTGGGATAATGCCAATTATATATGCCTTTTTACCCTGCTAATTTTACTTAACATTGTATTTTGAGTTTTTTCCACATCAGCAAAAATTCTTAGTGAAAAAAAATTGAGGAGGAAAAAGTTTTCCTTGACCCTCTTAGGGTCTAGAAATTAAACTGACAAAGACAGATTAACAGAAGAAGAGCATACAGGTTTGTTTAGTATAAGTTTTATGCCACACAGGAGCCTTCATAAGGAAATGAAGACCCAAAGAAACAGACCTGAGTATTTTATGCTAGGTTTAATGAAAAGTGGACAGTCGTGGAGGAACACCATAGTTGAAGGAGTCTGAGGTAACTGTAGAGGAAACGGGGAAATTTAGCAAGGCCTGTTTGTTAAGATTCTTCTTGGCATCCCTGTGTCCTCAGAGATAAGGATGCTCTTTTCGTCTGTGTATGGGGAGGGCACCCCTCACATGAGGGTTTTATGACCTGGTTCAGGGAAGAAGGGTGAGGCAGGGGGGAGGTCAGAGTGACATTTCTCACATTCCTTCAGCTTAAAATATTCAGTATGCCCAGTTGCCATTTTTTGGGGTAGCGTGTCCTGAACCCCATCACATTCACAGTTGTTTCTTGAATGGCTATTATGTGCCAGATCTTATTTTAGGTGCTGGGGATACAGCAGTGACCAGAACAAAGTTCTTATTCTTATGGAGTTTACATTCTAGTGGGAAAAGCTAGTAAGCAAATCAGCAAATGAGGATCATCTAACGATATGTGCTATGAAGAAAACAAACAGAATAAGGATATGTAGTCACTTTGCTTTTTAGTAAAGTTGTGCTAATTTACCTTCCCTGCAGGAGTGTGTGTGTCTGTGTCACTTTATTTTGTCATCAGTGAATATGATCATTTTAAAATATTTGTTAATTTTATAGGTGAATGAGTGATAATTCTTTGTAATTTGCATGTCTTTGATTACTCAGGAAGTTGAACATTTTAACATAGTTATGTGCATTTCCTCTTCATTGAATTTTCTGTGCATATGCTCTGCTTATTTTCCTGTTGAGGGCCGAGTGTTTTCCTCTGCTTTGAATAATCCCTTTACATTACTAATTTGTTGTTGGGTCCTTTATATTTAATGGATAGACAAGTGCTCTTAAACAGTGGTGAGACTGTAAGAGGAAAGAAAAAACAGAGGAAGCCTGGAATTCCCTTCCCCTCTTTCTGCCCCTCCCCGCTTCCTTCTAATACAATGAGGAAAAAGTGATCAGAGAAGGAAAAAGTGTAGTTTAGGTGGAAAGAAGTGAAGAAAGAAAGAAAAAAAATAGGTGGGCGAGTGAGAAGATGATGATGAGACTAGAAGTGAGAAGATGGGAGAGGCCAGAGAAGCGGTAAGAAGGAAGAGGAGTGAGGGAAGGAAAACATGGAGAGGATGGAAGAATGGAAGACAGAGTCATAGAGGCTCAACGTGCTTCCCTTGGATAATTACATTTTTCTTTTTTCTTTTTCTACCTCAACCTAGCAAATCCCTAGGAGAAGATGACTGTGTTCTTTAAAACACTTCGAAATCATTGGAAGAAGACTACAGCTGGAGTCTGCCTGCTGACATGGGGAGGCCATTGGCTCTATGGAAAACACTGGTAAGTACCTGACTGCCCCCACCCACCCTGCCTTCACCTCCAACAACAAAACCGTCCAAAGGAGCCTAAGGTTAAAATCTTGCCCTGCTGTGCTGTCTCCATAAAACATTGTGGTGTAAAAGAAAAATAAATGTTAAAACCACAAACAGAGACAAAGGCTTCTTGCTGGGAGCAGTTCTGTGAAACGAAACTGCTATCTGGAGCTGCTAACACAGACTTCAGTGGATGTAGATCATACGTACCAGTGAGATTGGAAGGGGAGGAAATGGAGGCGCAGCCTAGAGAGAGAAAAGTCACCTCCCAGTTAATGGTCCACAGGAACTGGAACTCATATGTCTCCTTGGGATTTTTTTCCTGCAGTTTCTTATAGCCTGCTGATCTATTATCACTCCCATAGCTGGACACTTACTGAAGGGGCTTCCTCCAACCCCTGTGACTTTCCTGGTCTGTTCCATTAGCCTAGGTTAATTTAAATGAGACAAAGACGTTCAAACCTTTTGTTTGAAAAACAAGAGAGTCCTGGGTTTTATTAGCCTTCAGGTGTGGAGGGAGAAGAAGGTGCCAGAGCTCCTCTTCTGGTTTATATGGTCATAAGATTTAAATAAACAGAATTTTTGTGTAAAAATTATGCAGATATTGAGAGCCAATCAAATTGCAGTCTTTGGGGGATGCAAGGCTATATTTTAAATATCTGGCAACACTCTCTGGCATCCAGGAATCTTAGGTGACTGCTTTGTTAAATGGCAGGCAGCACAGTTAGGCTTTGTAAGAAAAGTCTCCACAGTGGAAAGGAGATTCATACTGACACTTTCGTGAATGTTCTCAGTTCACCACTGTTGGAGATAATTTTATGATGCAGCATAGTGTCTAGTTTTTTGCAGCTGTAGAGAAGATGGAACATTCCTCCCTTTTCTAAGTATCTGCAAGGCTGAGCACTTGAATTCCATTAGCTAGCATGTAAAGAAAAAAACAGACTTAAGAAGCTTTAGATTTGTAATATATAAAAAATAAAAGGGCAGAGGAAATGTTCTAACAAATGAAAAATGAAGCATATAATGTTCGGCTTTTCCTCCCTTTTCTAACTGCACTTGAGTCCTCAAGGAAAGGCTCCTTATACCTCCTGCCAAGGTAGGAACTAGGATTTCCTTTGCAGGAGCACCCAGTCCAGGCCACAGCTAGCTCAGTCAGGGAGAACCTCCTACCTGAGGATTGCTGCTGTTTCTTCTGCTAGGTGAAGATTTTAGGAAATAACTGTGTCTCCTGTTCAGGGTGTCTTTAAGGTACCATAATAATTTCTTGCTAGTGTAGTCTGAAGAATTTAAAAAGGGTCCATTAAGTCTCTACTTCATTGGAGGCCTCATTCTGAATTGGATCTGAAACAGCTTGAACCAGAAATGTGGCAGGTGCCTGGAGGCCTCATTTTGCTCTGTCTGCACCCTGGACATTCAAGGTTACTGCTCAAAATGCAAATCCCCGTTGTCCTACTGCCCTTCCTCTTCCCAGACTTTTCTTCTGCGTGCTTTGGTACTATTTAGCCATTTTTTTTTTAATCATGGTTAAAAAAAATAAAATTTACCACCTTAACTATTTTTAAGTGTATAGTCAGTAGTGTTAAGAATATTCACGTTGTTGTGCAACAGAGCTCTAGAACTTTTTCATGTTGCAAAACTGAAACTCTGTACCCACTGAACAACTACTCTCCATTTCCTCCTCTCCCCAGCCCCTGGCAACCACATTCTACTTTCTGTTTCCATAAGTTTGACTACTTTAGATACCTCATCTAAGTGGAATCATACGGTATTTGTCTCTCATGACTGGCTTATTTCACTTAGCATAATGTCCTTAAGGTTCATCCATGTTGTAGCATATGGCAGGATTTCCTTCTTCTTTAAGGGGGAATAGTATTCTCTTGAATGTATATGCCACGTTTTCTTTATCCATTCATCTGTTGATGGACATTTGGGTTGCTTCTACCTGTTGGCTATTGTGAATAATACTATGAACTTGGCTGTGCAGATATGTTTTCAAGATCCTGTTATCAATTCTTTTGAGTCTATACCCAGAAGTGGGATTTCTGGATCATATGGTAGTTCTATTTCTAATTTTTTTTTTTTTTTTTTTTTTTTTTTTTTTTGGTGAGGAAGATCAGCCCTGAGCTAACATCTGATGCCAGTCCTCCTCCTTTTTTGCTGAGGAAGATCGGCCCTGGGCTAACATCCATGCCCATCTTCCTCCACTTTTATATGAGACACTGCCACAGCATGGCCTGACAAGTGGTGCGTTGGTGCACCCCCGGGATCCAAACCTGTGAACCCCAGGCCGCTGTCGCAGAGCACGCGCACTTAACTGCTGTGCCACCTGGCCGGCCCCTCTATTTCTAATTTTTTGAAGAAACTTCAAACTGTTTTCCTGAGTGGCTATATCACTTTACAATCCCACCAACAGTGCACAAGAGTTCTAATTTCTCCACATCCTCACCAACACTTGTTATTTTCTGGGTTTTTTTTTTGATAGTGGCCATCCTAATGTGTGATATGGCATCTGGTGTTTTTGATTTGCATTTCTCTAATGATTAGTGATGTTGAGCATCTTTTCATATCCTTGTTGGCCGTTTGTTTATTTTCTTTAGAGAAAATCTGTTCAAGTCCTTTGCCCATATTTTAAAATCAGGTCATTCGGTTTTTTATTGTTGGGTTGTAGGAGTTCTTTAACCCTTTATGAGATATATGATTTGTAAATATTTTCTTCCATTCTGTAGGTTGCCTTTTCACTCTGTTGATTATGTCTGTTGCACAAAAGTTTTTAAATTTGTCGTAATCCCATTTGTCTAGTTTTGCTTTTGTTGCCTCTGCTTTTGGTGAAATATCCAAGAAATCATTGCCAAATCCAAAATCATGAAGCTTTTCCCCTATGTTTTCTTCGGAGTTTTATAGTTTTAGGTCTTATGTTTAGGTCTTTAATCCATTTTGAGTCCTTTCCCCATTGTGTGGTATTGGCATCCTTGTCAAACATCATTTGATCATGTTTGTGAGGATTTATTTCTGGGCTCTCTATTCTGTTCCATTGGTCTATATGTCTTTATGCCAGTACCACCCTGTCTTAATTACTATAGCTTTGTAATATTTTTTTAATTGAGATATAATTGACATTATATTAGTTTCAGGTATGCAACATAATGATATATGTATATATTGCGAAATGGTCGCCACAATAAGTCTAGTCAACATCTATCACCATACATAGTTACAAATTTTTTCTTATAATATGTTTTGAAATTAGGAAGTGTGAGGCCTCCAACCTTGTCCTTCTTTTTCAAGATTGTTTTGGCTATTTGGGGTCACTTGAGATTCTATATGAATTTTAGGATGGTTAGTTTCTATTTGTGCTTAAATGCCACTGGGATTTTGATAGGGATTGCACTGAATTTGTAGATCACTTTGGGTAGTATGGACATTTTAGCAATATTAAGTCTTCCAGTCCAAGAACATGGGGTGTTTTTCCATTTATTTGTGTCTTCTTTAATTTCTTTCAGCAGTGTTTTGTAGTTTTTAGTGTGCAAGTCTTTTACTTCCTTGGTTAAGTTTATTCCTAAATATTTTAGTCTTTTTGATGCTATTGTAAATAAGATTTTCTTAATTTCCTTTTTGGATTGTTCATTGTTAGTGCATAAAAATGCAGCTGATTTTTGTGCGCTGATTTTATGTCCTGTTATTAGTTGCAACAGTTTTTTTGTGTGTGGAATCTTTAGGATTTTCTGCATATAAGATCGTGTCATCTGCAAACAGATAATTTTACTTCTTCTTTTCCAATTTGGATGCCTTTTATTTCTTTTTCTTGCATAATTGCTCTGGCTAGGATGTCCAATACTATGTTGAAGAGAAGTGGTGCGTGGGCATCCTTGCCTTGTTCTTGATCTTAGAGAAAAGCTTTCAGTCTTTCACTCTTGAGCATGATGTCAGCTGTGGGCTTTTCATATATGGCCTTACTTAATGTTGAGGTGGTTTTCTTCTATTGTCTTTTTAAAAACATCTATATATCCCCAACCTTTTCACAGAACAGTCTTCATATTCTTTATATTAACCTAGTTTTTCCCCTGAGAAAATCTTACCCTGCAGCTCTCTAGAATAGAAGCTTCCCTGCCTTTTCAAGTGGGTTGTGAGGTAGGGTGGGCATTCTCCAACTCTCAGTCTTCCTACTGCTTTCCCCCCTGTTTGTCAAACTCTTCCTAGCTTAAACGTGTCTTTTCTCAACTGTGTATTCCCATTTATTTACCGCCCTCTCTCTCTCTCCTTCCATTTACACCATTTTTAAATGTATACCTCACACTTGGCAGTCTCTACCTCCATTTTAGAATAAGCTTGGTAAAATTTGGTTTCTGTCCCATCATTTGATTGAACCTGCTCTTGACAAGGTCATTAATAGCCTCTTAGTTGTTAAATTAAATGGGTACTTTTCCATCCATGTCTGCCACATTTGATTCTTTTTGACCATATCCTCTTCAGTCACCTTTAGGGTGTCTTCTTGCTCTGCTTATCCCTTAAATGTTGGTGTCCCCCAGGTTCTGTTCTCATTCTGTACACTTCTTAGATGATCATAACCACACTAGTGTTTTCAGGTGTGGCATTTAGATTTTGGAGTCATAATATTTTTCTAGTCTGTCTTGCTTCTCTTGACATTTTATGAGAATAGTGTCCCTAGAGTTGTACCATGCAGTCAGCCATCAAATATTCTTTCTAAAAGAGAACTCCGATCATGTCACCCTTCTACTGACAACCTGTAAATGGCTTTCCAATGCCTAGAGGACAAAGACCCAATTCCTTAGGGTGGCATAAATGGCCCTTCATGATTCTGCCCTTATCTTCCTCTCCAGGCCTTTTCTGATCCCTTCTCACCCTCCCTCCTTGACCCTTGAACTCAACCTCTATGTTCCAGCAGTCCTCAGAGGGGCCTGTTTCCTGTTGTCCCTCTCTATTCCCTTGTGTGTGTTCTTCCCTCCGCCT